TGTAGTATTTATTAGTAGCCCTTTTCTTATCTTCAACCCAAACTCTACTTAGCACTGCACTTAATCACTTATATACTGATCAGTGCATTGACAAGAAGATTGCTGAAAGCTAGGTAGAGACATTGTGCCTAACAAAGAAAAGTTTATAAGTTCCCGTAGCCTAAATGAGAGGTTAGCAAGTTTTGTGAGACCTCTACTAATGTCTTTCCTTTCCAGAAAAAAAGGCTACTCCTGTCTAAACTATGAACACCGTACCCGATAACCAATATTGTAAACTGACGATGACATGGAGAAGATCACAAACAAAAAGTCTGGCAACTTTCCATCAGATATTGTTCGGTTAGAGAAAAAAGGGTCGTAATCAAGGCCCGACTAGAACGACTAGCACCGAACTTTACACGAGGTCTGCAGAAGAGGACAAACTAGGACAGAACAGGGTAGGAAACGCAGATCTGCTTGAAAAAGGTGTCAGGTTGACAACTTGCACTACTGTGTTGTGTGTGTACCATGCGTTAGCATGCATCCGGATCCTGTATGCAGATCATGATTCCAGGGACTGCTTGACAAGAAAAACATAGGAAAAACAAATCCTCCAAACACTAGCATCTCCGGATAATGAGGCTAATGTCTGAACTGTTTATGACTGGTCAGATGTTAACTAGTCTCGCGGGTACAATGTCACTATTAAATTTCGTTCTTTACCCCCATGAATCCTTTTCTCTAATTATGTTGCTTCTGTAGTTCATAATATTTTGCAGAAAATAAAACAAGATATTTTCTTTTTTACCTTTTCTGATGCAGGCTGTGAGTGCCAACCAGAGCAGCATGCTGATACTTCAGGAGACGTGCACCGACGCTTCTGGCTCCATTGTTGTGTACGCTCCGGTAGACATCCCGGCAATGCAGCTTGTCATGAATGGTGGCGACTCCACCTATGTTGCTCTGCTTCCATCCGGATTCGCCATCCTGCCCGATGGGCCTCGCATCGGCGCCACCGGGTACGAGACGGGCGGCTCTCTGCTCACCGTGGCGTTCCAGATTCTTGTCAACAACCAGCCCACCGCCAAGCTCACCGTGGAATCGGTCGAGACCGTGAACAATCTCATCTCCTGCACCATCAAGAAGATCAAGACGGCGCTGCAGTGCGACGCCTGAGTGTTTACAGTGGATTTATGTCCGCGGGGATACGCCGGCGGCGACGAGCCTGAGTCAAGAACGAACCGCGCGTTGAAAAAAGAAAATAACCTTTGCTAGGTGATAAGGATCTTGCTTGGCCGGTCCTTAGCACAGAGCAATGGTGGTGGTTCGGGTATTGACTCTGGCCTCTACCGTACGCCGATCTCTCCCCGGCAGCCGGTGATCATTGGATGATACAGTACCATGCATTTTGGACATTTCTTCGAGGGGTTAAACTTATGCTTTAGTTTCGTCGTCTTAGGGAGTCAAACCTGTATACTTTTGGCAGTTGGCTCATCGTTGCTCTAGTGTTGTTTGTTTTTTGTTGTGCTATGGCTGTATGAGGTAGCCTGTACTAGTAGTTTCTCGGAAATGCTGGGTTCATACTGTACTAGTGTCGTCCATACTTCATATAGGTTATGGTACAAGTGTAGGATCAAATTGAAGGTTTCAGAAAGTGTATCAGCCAATAATGTCTGTTTGACAGTGGCATTGCTATGGATCAGCTGAAAATTGTTTTTTGCAATACACATGGGATCAAAGCTATGGATTGGTGTTTGCATGTACTACTACAGTTAGTTGTACGTGCTGGCCTGCAAATACTCGAGCAGCATGACGCCTGGTGCAAGGAAATACTAGTACCAGTACTAGTACTCTACAGTGCTACGACCACATAAGATCCTGTCTACCCCGGAACAGTGAGTACTGAGCATTTCATGTTCACCAGCGCAGCTGTGTGTACGTGCCTGCAGGACTGCGATGGCGATGGGTCATGGGAGTCTACCCAGTTCTGTACGGAGTACAGTCGAAAAGTTGAAAGGCCTACGCTCGTCACCTCATCGATCTACCCCAAAGAAAACACGCTGTTTTTACCCTTTTCACGCCGCATCTATAGATGACAAAACGATTGGGTTATCACGCCCCCCTGCAGGCGGCATAGATTGGCCCTGGTGGAGTGGTGGTGGCTGGTGCGCGCTGCGCCCACTGGAAGCCTCTTGTCAACGACCGCGTCCGTGGCGTCGGCTTGTTAGGTCGTGAGCCGTGAAAATAGGCCTGTTTGAAGAAGTTTTTGATTTTGAGAAGCAGCTGTTTGATAGCCAGTTTATGAGAATCTGAAAAAGCTTTGAAACCCAGCTTCTGGCTTCTTCAGCTCTGTAGCTACAGATTCTCAGAAACTGTGGACTGTTTGGGGCAGCTTTTAGCAGAAGCAGCTTTTGAGAAAAACTGCAGCTGGGACAAGCTCCCCAAACAGGGCCAATGATGTCGTGAGGATACTGTAGCCAGTGTTTACAGTACTCTCTAGATCACTGAATTCGTTCCACTCAATAATTTCATCAAACATAGGTCAAAATGTATACTTGTTGGATGAAATTCCTCTTCTACTACGAGATATGGTTAGTTCAATTGTAAGGAAATTCCTCGGTTTAAAAGGCCCATAAATTCCATGGAGAGAGGCATTGCATATATGCAGTAGAAGTTGGAAAAAATATTGCTTACCATTTGCCTTTTCCGTTAACAAATGTCAAGCTCTCAGATGTTGGCGAGGCAGAAGAGATGGCCCCACTCCCACAATGTCACATGCTCACATGAACAGATCCTGCTTACGTGAATAAGGAAACAACCAATTGTATTAGGAGCCACAAAAGGATATCTTCAGTTCAAAAAAATAACCAAATATTTAACAAAATCACAAATAAACATTTTAGTTACGGGTTGTAACACATATGGTTAGTTTCTTTCAACCAATCCTTTTCTCACATCGCTTGGTGCTCTTTTGAAAGGTATGGAGACGTATTTGTGGAGGTGTGGCAATCGATGGTGACTAATTTCTGAACAATGCTCGATCATGACGATGACAACAAATGTGGATCCGGAGGTGATGACCCATCAAGATTGCGAAGAAGACGGTGAAGGGCACCGGAGATAATCGTTGTGGTGGAGAGGATGCTAAGTGAAGGGAGATGGACGGTGGTGGCGACGGCGGCGGCAAGGGTAGGAGGACTCAAGCTAGGGTTCAGATCAGGCTCAAATATATATATATATATATATATATATATATATATATATTTGAGTGTGTGTGTGTCTGTGACATACCACTCGTCAGATCTTAATCCAATGGCTAAGAATAAATTGCCTATAGAAGACATAAATTGAGAAATATACCCATATAGATATTTCCATGTGCAAGAGAAAGATACAAATATCAACTGGTAAAAAGCGTAAAAGCACATTCACACATCTAGATGTAACAACTATACTATAAATGGGCCTCAAACTCATAATTGGCCCAACTATACATGATGATTGAAATAATAATGGTCTAAACTACACTTAACTCTATGATTGTTTTTGCCAAGACAGCCTAAGTTCATAAAAAAAAGTGTGATAGATATGACCAAAACAATTAATAGAGTTGTTGTGCTACCACGAACCAAGTCCAACTCTCCGCAAACATTTAGAACAAAGCAAATAGAAAAAATAAACTTGGAGAGAGTGGCCAGAACAATACAGTATAGCCCGTGAATTTTAGGCTAGCTTACACTTAGCTAGCTACTGCTCATGGAGGGAAATACACTCTATCAAATATTTGGGTATTGTTCATTATTTCTAGATCACTGAAGGGGTTAGTATTACCGTTGCGTCAAATACCTTACAACTTAGCCTTTTTTTTTCCAGACCTTTGTGTATTGAAAACACTAGAATGATATATCCTCTAATTAACAAGTTAGGGCAAAGGGAAATCTAAAGGTTCTCTTGCACCGAGTCCTTTTGCTCTAATGTTCCAGGCTTACAAAATAGAGCGGATATAGCGACCGAATCCTTTTGCTCTAATGTTTGTTGTCAAGCAATTTCCTTATAAGGCCAGAAACACCAACAACTTGTGGCAACAAGGAACCTTAGATTTTCAAAATATATTGGTATGTAGTAAGTCTACGAAATTTATCCCTAATTTACGTATGCAGTATTTCGGAAGTGCACATGCCACCACATGTACGCACAAAAGTGTAACAAAAGATCCTTGTGTTTATATGTTATAAAGTGAGCACCGAATAATACAACCATGATGTCATATTCTAATACAATGTTTATTCGAAATTTAACCCTACCACTTACCATCACTCTCTAGCGTCTCATTCTATATTCAACCATCTCGTCCATATGCTTTATTAACACTAGCAAGATCCACTTACCCGCTCTCACCCACCATGTGTTTCCTTTTATAATAATACCGTCATAATACACCTTATCTATTATATCCCGTAACATCTTTGATGTTCTTCCGCTTCTTATCTCTATAGCTTGTGCTATTGGATTCATCGCCGCCCATGTGCTCAATGTCCTCCTCCCATACCTGAGGCAGCCATCCCCCTCTGTCAACTCCAAACCTCTTTGCTTCCACCGATAAGCCTTCACTGTCTTCTCTTACCTTTCGAGCTGATACACAAAGCTAAAATTACAGGTGCACATGACATATTATCTCTACCCACTAGTTCAGGCGAAAAAAAAACTTAACACTTATAGCAACACCACAAAAGGCAACCCAAAAAAAATCGAATAACTGTAGCAGCCTGGGAAGTGAATCTCCAACCATTTCCATCGAGCTACAGCTTGTGCTTGTTTTTCCTGTTGGTAAGGAAAAAAATTGCTCGTATTCTATATGCTAAAAAGTAGGTTAAACCAATCAAACTTCAATCTCCCATTACAACATTTTCAACCAATACGTCACCGTGCAATTTTCACCCAAAAAAATCACCGTTCATTCATCAGAATCAAAATTGTAATTCTCCGCGAGATGACAATCAAGTAAAGAACAGTCCTTCCGGGAAAGAAAATTTCCTCTCTCATTTCTAGAGGAGGAGGAAAGGTAGTACCAGAGCCCCAGCCCACACGTTCCTCCCCATTCCGCGGCTAGGGTTCCGGCGATGGCGACGCCACGATCCCCAAGCCCCCGTGGCGACGCGCGCCTGGACTCGGCACCGCTCCTCGGTGGCGGCGGCGGCGGTGGCGGCCGTCGCCACGGTGGCGCGCTGCGGCGGCCGTCGCTCCGGGGAGCGGCTCGGTTCCTGCGCCGGAGCGGTCGCCGGGCGATGCGCGAGCCGTCCCTGCTGGTGCGGGAAGCGGCGGCGGATCAGCTGGAGGAGCGGCAGGCCGACTGGGCCTACTCCCGCCCCGTGGTGGCGCTCGACCTCCTGTGGAACCTCGCCTTCATCCTCGTTGCCGCCGCCGTGCTCGCGCTGAGCCGCGAAGAGAGCCCGTCCATGCCGCTCCGCCTCTGGATCGTTGGGTACGCCGTTCAGTGCGTCCTCCACATGGCCTGCGTCGCCATCGAGTACCGTATGCGCCGCGGCCAGAGCGGTGAATCCCCCATGGCCGCCGACGAGGAGACAGGAACCGATGGATCGTCGTCGTCAAGTGACGAGGACGCCGGCGAGCGTGCTCCCCGTGGCCGCAATGGCGATTATGTTCGGTAATGTAAAGGACTGATTAGAGGGATTGTTGCTATTACCGATCCTTTAATTGTTCTAAACTTTAGCTTTGTTCTAGTTGAAGTAACTTTCAGTCTTTCACTGTTAAGTTCAAGGCTATCGTTCCTTTCATGGTAAACTAGAAATTGTGGTCACACTACAGGTATCCTAGTAATTTTGTACCAAATTTCAAGACTAATCCTTTAACTATGTTCATAATGTATGCTAGAAATGTTGGTCGTGTCCTTGTGGGTCTTAATTTTTGCCTAATTGGAACAAGGAGAACCATATGAGAGTTCCCAACCAAGGTTGAATTAACTCTTGGCTTGATATGTGAACAAAGATAGTTGAATACATGAAATGGACCTATAGTTGAAGTTCTAAGTGGATGTTTTTAGCTTGATTTCCATAACCTGAAAGCCTGTAACAAAATATCTGCTCATATATTTACTGGACATGCATAATTTTCTCACCTGTGTTTCTTATGTTGCTATATCGTGACAACCTTATTATTTCTGCATGATCGCTTACTTTTTAAAGCTCTCAGTAGCTTTAGTCCTATAGAATAAACAAGAATGACTACCAAATTTGATTTTAATTATATGAATATTTAAAACTAACTTTGTTTGTTCCTTGGGTTTTCAGTTAAGTCTTGGTGATCTTGAACAAGTACCTTTGTCTGTGAATCCACTAAGATATATTTTGTTGCATTTGTTCCTATTTTGCCAGAAGTTATTGTTGTCCACTTTATCTTAGTTCGTCATCCACCTAGTTGCTTCTAGTAATGCAAGTTACATGAATCATACTGGTTTTTCTATGTTAGTGCCAATATGAGTTGTCTGCAGAATGTCAATTCTTAAGATGGACTTCAAGCATGTTGTGGCTTTAACAGACATAATATAGCATGCATCTATGCTATGCTGGATGCTGGAGGTTTTGATTGTCAGTTAGAGAGGAGAGGCACACTAATGTGGTCACTCTGCTGTGTATCTCTGAATATAGCATAACTTTCTCATATTTCTATGCTGAAATGCGACTGTGCTTTTCTACCTTCTATAAGCCTTTATCTCATTTTTATTTACCACACCTTCCTAGTTTTATTTTAGAAATTTTTATTTCTATGGGAAATCAGAGCTATTATAATTAGTTTAGTGTATTTAATGGAAATAGTTTCCATTTAATTTATTTTTCATGGTTTGCTTTTAGTTCAGTTGGCCACCATATCTTCTATCCTGATAATTTTTCTGTTCATAAATCTGCTTGCAGTATTGCAAAACATCTGGAGTCTGCTAATACAATGTTCTCCTTTATATGGTGGATAATCGGATTTTACTGGGTATCTGCTGGTGGGCAAGTTCTTACTCATGATGCACCTCAACTTTACTGGTAATATAATTTCTAAGATATGCCTGAAGTTTTTGACATGTCTCATCATTTTATTTGTTTTTCATTATATCTGTTTACACTTCATCTGCAGGCTTTGCATCGTCTTTCTGGCATTTGATGTTTTCTTTGTCGTCTTTTGTGTTGCTTTGGCTTGCATCATTGGAATTGCTGTTTGTTGCTGCCTCCCATGTATCATAGCAATTTTATATGCTGTGTCTGATCAGGTATGGTTTATTGAATGCCTTATGCCTACAGTAGAGAATGTCATTAATGTTACAGCTAGTAACTTATTTTCGTAATTATGCTAAGTCTACCCTTCTTGTGCCGTTGATTCTCTTCTTGCTTCAAATTGGTCACCGTATAGGGCTGTAACTATTCTCAAAATCAACTGGTTAGGCCTTGGCCATATTAGTAGGAACATATGTCCATGGAATGCAATTATTTTTATGGCCTCGTTCAAGAGGACCCCGATCCAGGTCCATCCCCTGATGAAATTGAAAGACCACACGGTTTTTCTAAATAAATGGGGTGATATTGGCTAGCTACTGTTAAAACTGTTTCAGTTGACGTTAAGCTGTTAAAAGTCGGATATCGCTAGGAAACTGAGAAAGTTCAGTATTGGAATATTTCTCTTGTGTTCTCTAATCATTTTGCAAAATTTTAAATTTAAATTCATCAATTTCTTTTGCTGTTCAAACTTCAAACTGTCCCAGCTGACCCTAGTTGGACTTATGGACACATCCCGATACTCATCATTCTGGGTTTATATTAATATTGTTTAATTGTATGCTGGTAGTAAGACTTCCCAGCTTCCTTTCCTTAGAATAATTTATGTGTGCAGTATATATGAATAATCTGCTTGAACATCGCATATCTCATGGATTACATCGCTTTGGAGATGAGTATACACATGATAATGTTTTTACCATCTGGTTGATACCAGGAGGGAGCATCGGAAGATGATATTCGCCAAATTCCAAGATACAAATTTCGGAGGATGGATGAGCCTGAAAAGCAATCTGTCAACATGACTGGATCTTCCGGTGGAATAATGATAGAATGTGGCACCAACCAACCTATTGAAAAAGTACTTGCAGCTGAAGATGCGGTAAGTTGTTCACTTTTCTTTTTCTTATATCAACAATTTCTGAGTGTACTTTATTGACTGTTTAATCAAGTCTGATTCATCCTGATTTGATCAATTTCTACAAAATTAGGCATCTAACTGTGTTTGACTGTTTGGCACAGTTGGCACATCACAGTTTGTCATACTAGTTGCAGCATGCTTAGCAAACCATCAAAGTTTCCCACTAGCAAAGTTCCAAAACCACTACTAGTTATACTGGGGAAGAAGTAGGTGATTGAACTCATTTGTAACACAAAATTGACCTGAGAAGGGAAAAAGTGGCTCATAATTTCCCGGTGAAAAAAAGTGGCTCGTATCCAGTCCCATTACTGGGGTAAATGCAATATTTGAAATTTCCGTACTAGAATATGAGGAATTGCCAGTATTCAGGAGGCAATGCAAACCCTATGCTGTAGAGTCATGAGCCACTTTTTAATTGTAAACTCACTTAGTTGTTTCTTATTAAGGGAAATTTAGAGCTTAAGTTGGAAAGAATAAACTCATGAGTTTGAGCTTACAATTGCCCAACTCTGTACATTTGGACCTTCAGACCAAATACATCTGTAGCCTTTGTATTGGTTATTTAGCAAATAAAAGAGGTGGTTTAACTACCTCATTTTTTTGGCCTCAAAGTTTCTTCATACTGATATTGTTTCTCTAAGTGATTTCTTGGATTGTTGCATCATGGAACATTTTTCTTGTTCACCCGTTATGGTTATAATCTAAGTCTCTTAGTCCTGTTGCACCCAGCCATCCCTTATATTTTATGATAAATGACTTCACCATCCAATTGATCGGTGCAGGAGTGCTGCATTTGCCTGTCAGCGTATGATGATGGTGCAGAGCTGCGTGAGCTCCCTTGTGGGCACCATTTCCACTGTGTCTGCATTGATAAATGGCTGCACATCAATGCGACTTGTCCCCTATGCAAGTTCAATGTTCGAAAAAACAGTAGCAGCAGTGGTAGTGAAGAAGTATAAATCTCCACGAGAGAATCCAAGCATAATCGGTATTTAGCTTCTCGTCCCACGCGACTTCTGTCACAACTGTGGTACTTTTCATGTCAAATCCCCTAGAGTGTGCGTTCTTATGTGTTTGCTAATATAACAAAAGAAAAACAAATGATCCATGTAAATTCTTGTATTCAATATATATGCTCATAGTGGTCACCATGCCCCATGTCTCCTTGTTTCACATGCCTTTGCGCTGCTGCCTGCTGTCTTGTAGGTTGTGTGAGTCGTGGAAGGTGAGGATTGTGTGTGGTTCACCTGCTTGCTTGTGTATATACGTGCAACTGAGCATTGTGTGTCGTTCACCTGCTTGCTTGTGTATATACGGAGTACTAGTTTGAGTCTTTTGCCTCTTTGAACTCAAAGAAGTAGCACGCCATTTTTTTTTTGGATCCAGTCGTTTCCGTTGATTGTCAGTAAATCTTCATATTATGCTATGGCTTAGTATAAATATTGGCAATGATGACAAGTTTGATGTGTGTGCATCATCGCACGGTTTTTTGTTATATAGGTTATCAATAGTCTTTGACAGTTTGTATTTGAAATATATGTCCATCCACCTTAATTATTCTTCCATCACAAAATATAAATCATTCTCTACTTAAGTAAATTTCTCAAATCTACAAACATATTTAAATGAGCTGTAGATTGGTGAACGATGTCCTGGTATTAATTTAGAGAACCACTTTGCTCTGCAACAGAATATTAGGGCTCCTTTGGAACAAAGGAAAAGTGAAGGATTTTGATCGAACCCTCAAAATTCCTTTGAAAATATTACAGAATGGACCATTTCATAAGGATTTTGAGTAAAAATTAACACAAGGTCTCACCTTATGGATTTGTCGTGTCTTCAATTCCTATGTTTGTTCTGTGTCATTTGACTTTTTCTTAATTAAAATTCTTCAGGTTTGATCAAGTTTATAGAAAAATATTAGCAACATCTATAATACCAAATTAATTTCACTAAATTTAGTGAGCTTCTTTCTCCACCTCAACAACCTTAGTGAACTCTGGCGAAGTGGTGGCGATCCTAAGGTAGGAGGGAGGGTAGGTGACGGGAAAGATGGGTGAGTTCCTTGGCATAGAAAGAGATCGAGGAGACAGTGAACTCATAGTGTGTGGTGGTGATGGTGCCATAGGATCTGCAGTGATGGAGTAGGGCCGCGAGTGGTGGTGGCATCTACGGGGGAATCTTGGCCAAGTGGTTAAGTGGCGGTGACCGATGGTGAGCAAGTGGTGAATTTGACGGTGGGAGACGGAAGAGGTGGGTGGGAAGTGGGAATCTTGGTTGTTCAGTTGGTGGCTACTGAGCCTCGAGAGCTATCGGAGACGACGGAGGAGGGTGGGGGCAAGTACCACACCGAAGTTCGGGTTTCAACCATGGTGAACGGTGGTTCTTGAAGGCGATGCGCTTGAAGCAAAAAGTGTGGGACGGTGGCGGCTGCTAGAAGTAGGAGATGGTAGGGTTTGGTATATGTACTAAATGGAGTCACACAACGAGACACTGAGAGCGGGTGGTGGCTGGGAGCCTATTAGGGATTGCCATAATAGGGAGTTGTGCCACGCCTTATTGGTTCTGCTTTATTGGGTTGTGCTAGGCCTAGCCGCTCGCGAGTTGGGTTGCCTTTGCTAGCCTTGGCTCGTTCTAGCTCGTGAGTAGCTCAAGTTGACTCGTTACCTGAAACGAACTAAAACATGAGTTCCGCTCGTTACAAAACAAAACGAGCCAAGCTGAGCTAATGAGAGTTTTTCGTCTAATCCTATGTAGACCTTTGATCTCAATCCGGTGAATGGAAAGAAATGACTGGCATTAGGGGTTTTCTCAAGAAAGTTATCCTTTTTTTCTATTTATGTATCTAAGATCAAGGCAAAGCACATTGTTTTTATTTGGGCACAAGGCACATAGATTAAAGGGTTAATTAGATCCATACCATTGAAAATATGCTAGTTTTGAAATATGCCACTAGTATTCAAGTATTTGGAACCGTGCCATTACAATTTTACACATATTTGAGACATGCACCAAGCCGACGCCAACGACCCCAACCTGGCCCGCCCTTACACCGAGCTATGGATGGGCACGCAACTCTCTGCGCCCTCCTCCCTCCTCGCTGCCGCCAATGGCCTCCTCAGGGACTGGCTGGCGCGTAACCCCGCCGTCAGCGCTTGTTGGGGAGGCGACCTCCCGTTCCTCACCATGGCGATGCTCTCCACCTCCATGCCGTTCACCATGGTGACGCTCTCCGTCTCTGTGCCATTCCCCACCATTACCCTCAACCTCACGCAGATGCCCGCGGGGGGAGCAGGCGTCAGCATCGGCGCCGCCGGCCTGCTGCACGCGCTCCACCGCCCGCCGGTCATTCACCCTGGTGCTGCTGCCTAGGCGATGCCGCCACGGCTGGCGATGTACCTCCCGCAATAGAGGGCAGCGTCAGGGATGCTGCTGGCGGCGGCCGCGGGGCTAGCCACGGCGGCAGCTGTCGGTGATGGAGACGGTGATCGCCGCGCTCGCCCGACGAGTCCTGGGCAACGACGATGCCGAAGCAACGAGGACCGCCGGCTTCGATGAGATTCGGGTCAGAGAGAGGAGAAAGGATGAGGGAAGAGAGAGAGAGTTAGAAGATGAGGGCATTTTCGTCCAATACATGCAAAATATGAATCTTAGTGGCACCACTGAGATTACAAACAAGTACCAGTGACATCATTACAAATACGTAAATAATAATGATATATTTCGAAACCGATAAATTTTTAATGGAATGTATCTAATTAATCCATTGGCATGTATGGTTGAATGCCACGCTTTACCAACTAAACGACCAATCTTTCTTTCACTACCGTAAGTGACTTGCCACATTTTGGCTTCACTTATCGTAGACTCATTTCTTTGTCAAACCTTATCTAATGCGTGTTTATCAAATTGTTAGTCACACTTGTATAGCAAAGTTTTGGTGAAGTTATAATAAGACTAAAATGTGGCAAGATACGGCTGTAGCAGTGTGACAAACACTTACCTAAAAAGCATGGCGTGCTTAGCATTTGGTGTGATAAAATGTACACAAAATGTAACATTCAACTAACGTAAAATCTAATTCGAGAGCCCTCTCGTTTTAGCGCTATCGCGCGACGCTGGTAGAGCCGTCCGATCTCCAACCACACGCACACGCAATTCCTGCTTCAAAGAGAGTCACAGAGAGAAAGGCTACAATTTTCTCTCCCATGTCATTTTTCTCTTCAAACAAAGTTTTCTCTCAAATTTTTTATCCTATCTATAATCCGATTACACCATTGTGTTCGTTACAAATAAATTTCACAACAAGATCTTACATGATTATATTACGATGAAAAAATATTTATATTTGTAAATTACTTTTATTATATATGTAAGTTACTTTTATCATATATATAAGTTACTTTTAGATTTCACTAAATTACTTCTTAGACATATAAAAGTAAATTCAATAAGAAAGTAATTTACATATATTATAAAAGTAACTTAAAACAAAACGTAAGTAACTTTATCACGACATTAGAAGTAAATTCGTTGCAGGGATAAAAATATGACTTTGTCTAGAAATTAAATTTAATCAGCACAGATCAACACACGTAAGTTTAACAATTTTTAAAAGTAACTTCAATGTTAATTGGAAGTAACTTTTGCATTGTTCAAGTTGAAAGGAGATGCTAGATGAAGTACAAACTAGTTAACACTAGCTGTGTAGTCACGTCTAATGAAAAAAAATGTATTAATTAGAGTTACTTTCTTTTTGTTATAAGTTACTTTTATAATATATGTAAATTACTTTTAGACTTTATTGAATTACTTTTATATGTCTAAGAAGTAATTTAGTGAAATCTAAAAGTAATTTAGATATATTATAAAAGTAATTTATTATTTTTCATTAAAATATAATCATGTGAGATCTTGTTATAAAGATTTAATTGTTACGAACACAACAGTGTAATCGGATGAGTAGTTTAAGAGAAAATTGTATTTAAAGTATAGGTAGATAGTGCCTCTTATAGACAAACCAACTACCACTTGCTGTGTAGTCAAGTCCTTCAACTAAATAAGCCTTTAATCAATCACAATCTAATACTCTTTGTTTTCGCCACCAACCATCGAAACAATCTTTATAGTAACGCTTGAAGACTGCCCTAGATATTTTTGCTCTTGCGGTTTCAGGTTTCCTCAATGGGCTGGCCGCCAACTACACTACACGGCACGTGAGGATACTCCATGGAATTGATAGATGTCCTGTTGAATACTTACGCGCGTGGGCGCGTGACAGTTGGGCAAGAGAAAAGAAATAACTGGCCGAATATCATATACGACCTGGCCCAGCAGCACAGCATGGGCTGCACGGCGCGCTACCTTTTGTGTGTCAGGGCCAGATAGATACATGCGGTGAAGTGAGCAAAGCGTCAACGCACTTTTGCTCCCTAGAGAGAGGAGCTGACTCTGACCTAACCTGGAAAAATATCTCCCGCTGATCCGTCCATCGGGTCGCCTCACCGCGAAGCTGCATGGAGCTAGCGCCACTGCGCCAGTGCATGCGTCGTATTCACCGTGGCTTAACGCCTTAACCAAACCAAGCCAAGCCCCGTGCAACAACAACGCCATGCCGATTTGTATAATATGATGCGACCAAGTGCAGGCCCGGTGTTCGTTTCGTCCGTGCGACTCCGCGAGATATTTCGTCCGCCCGCGCGCGCGCGCGCCTCGCCTTCGGCTCGGCGCGTGGACCGGATGGACGATCTGGCGGCGGCGCTGGCGCGCGGCGAGGGAGCGTGGACGGAGGAGCAGCACGCGGCGTTCCTCGACCGCATGGAGCTCTCCTTCGTGCAGCAGGAGCTCGCCGCCGTCGCCGTCAGCGACGAGCGGCGGGCGTCGCGGAGGCTCTGCCGCCGGCCCGCGCCTCCGCCGGCGCCCGCAGCCGCAGGTCGCTGCGGCCAGCACCAGCTCTCGCTCTCGCTCGACCGGCCCCTCCCCGACAGCGCCGTCGAGTCCAACCGCGCCGCGCCTTCCTCCCGTCCTGCCGCCCGCGGCCGCGGCACCGGATGACGCGCCCGGCCGCTAGAGGGATCCATCGATCAGGTTTGTGTAGAGCAGAACGCCATCCCACACGATCCTTCTCCCTCTCTCTCACCTAACTATCATCTACTTCCTCCGTTTTAAAATATTTGACACCGTTAACTTTTTAGCATATGTTTGACCGTTTGTCTTATTAAAAACTCTTGAAAAATATAAAACTATATGTGTACATGAAAGTATATTTAACAATGAATCAAATGATATGAAAAGAATGAATAATTATTTAAATTTTTTGAATAAGACGAATGGTCAAGCACGTACTAAAAATTTAACTGTGTCAAACATTTTGAAATGGAGGGAGTAATCATCTATCATGTACCAAAGAGATAATAATGTGACAATGCGATCGTGGCAATCTATTGCTTTGCATAAGTTGTTAGTACTAATATACATGCATGATTCCAGCTAACACCTTAATTTTAATTATCTAGGAAAACTCAATTCATCCCTTAATAGAATATCCCTCATTTTTACATGTCACTTAAAAAGTCATTAAAACATTTGAAAAAATTTAGTAGGATAGATGATATGTCACTTTACAAACATGTAAATTCAAATTCAACTTACACAAGTAGAAACAAAAACAATAAATTTGACTATGAATAGAATGTGTAATCCATGGTCAAATTTATTATTTTTGTTTCGAATTGTATTAGTCGAATTTTAACTCGCTTGTTTACGAAAAGATATATATCATATATTGATCTACCTTGACAAATTTTTTTAAAATTTTTTATAACTTTTTAAACGACATACACAAAACGAGGAGATGTCTCCTTGAGGGACAAAAATCCACTTCCAATTATATAGTATTTTGACTTTTTTCAAGTTAAATTTTATTAAATTCAACCAAGTTTATGGAGAACTTAGTAATATTAGAAACACCAAATTAGTTTCATTAAATCTAACATAAAACATATTTTGAAAATGTGTTTGTTTTTCTACTAGTCAAAATAATTTATAATATGAAACGGAGGGAGTAACAAATCTACCGTGAAAAAATAAAGTTACTAACTAATTTTCTAGTACTGTAAAATTCTTGTACCCATGATATTTGCATTGACACATCTGTCTTGTTTGGTTTTCTGTGATTTATAGGTTGCTTCAAGGGGTATGAACAACTATGAACAGATGATGGTTAGAACAAGGATAGAAGGATAAATCCCCTTCGATCTATGTAGATACTTTCTTCAGGCAGTTGCTCTGCCTTTTTCTTTTTACTGTATCTATGAAGCACTCCCTCCGTCTCAAAATATAGCAATCTAGGAGGGAGTACTCAGTAGGAGTACTCAGTAGTAGAATTGATGTTTTGTAGGTTTGTACAGCTATGCTCACGTCACGTGATGGGTTGGTGCTAGCGCTTTCATTATCCAAACTGTGCCTTTATATCTTCTGCGGTAGCTCTCCTTACGAATGATATTTATCGGACTGTGCAGATATTTTTTCATAAAACTCTGCTTGTCTCTGGTCAAAATGCTGCTTTGCTACTCTAGCGCGAAAAAGAGTGACAAATAAGATTGTTATCATGTAAAATCACATTAATTATTAACGATCATAGAATATATATAACACAGACAGATGAAATTGAGATGTGCAAATTTTCCATTAAAAAAAAATCTGATTGAATCAAGTAGTTGCACGAAGATGGAGTACGTACTGAACAGTGAACAACACAATATAGAGTCCAAGTTGCTGTAAACAATGGGATCATGTTCTGCATAAAGGGCATCTTCTGAGTCCATAATTGCAATCCTCCAAGATGAGTTGGTGAATTGGCGAGTGCATATCCAGCAACTTATGCCTGATATTTACACAGCAAACAATTCTGCCAGGATCAGTTTGGTCAGAATATTCAGACTAGACAAAGGCACTCTTCCAAGATGTTTTCCAATTTGTTGCTGATGTTTTCTGAGGCAGCGTACCCTGTTTTGCAACACTGAAGTGAAGTCCTCACTGGTTTGATAATGTTGCAGGGAAGATGATAAGACATTATATTAGCAGCAGTTCAGAGTAGCGATTCTTTTCTCTCTCGAAATGATCATGTGATGGTGGTTGGAGATCTAACCGCTTCGTCAACGTGCGTATAGTTGTGGGCGCTTATAACAAAAACCACTTAGTTTGGACCTCTCAAGTACTGCGCAGGCCAACACGTTAAATAATCTAGTATTGATAAAATCAAACAACAGTATGAGAATGACAGAAATGGACGAAGATTGTTGCAGAAAGGTTATTACTGATTACTGACAGATCAATCGCCACAAGACACTCAGATATTGCATAGTAGTCACCTTTTGTTCCCATGTCACATCTCTGAAGATTCAGGGGATCAATCTAGTCTGAAAATATCTCCAACCCACCGAACCACATGGTCTATTAACTGCGCAAACAGTGGCTTTCATATTCTCAATAACCTTCTGAATCAATTAATAACCTTGTCCAACAATGAAGATGGGAACTTGGGAAGCCGATAGAAATGCTTCTCATCTGTGTAGGTGAAAGTGAAAGAAAAGTGAAACCCCTTTACGAAATCGGAAGAAGGCCCTCCGTTGGTTCATAGGCGTGCATCTCAGGCTCTCAGCTTCATACCAATACAACATTCCACTTGAAGAACGTCGACCAAGCTTCATGGCGATGCACGTTGTGCACTCTCCAATCCAACGTCCTGTTGTATATCCATATGTGTTCCCAGAGTAATTTGAATTATTTCGTTCAGCATAGCTACCACTGTTGAGCTGCTCTCAATTATTTGATGCACATCCATATAGCCATATGAAGCATTATTTGGTACTGCCCCATCCAGGAACTATTCGCATCTACAAAAGAAAGAAGAGCGATCAAAGTTGAAACAATAATGATCAACAGTGCTGACTATTCAGGAACGGAGGGAGTATGGAAGTAATGCATCTGCAAAATAAGCTCAGAATCTTTGTTGTTTTCATGAAGAAGAGAGATATACGAACTGTACTAAACAAAAAAAAAATCCTGACTTCTGAGTTTTCAGCATAGTAGCATATTCCGTATTCGCATTTTGTTCTGAGTTTTCTGAACAGAACTTTTGGGCAAACATCAGCTGTTTTAATTCAGAGTATCTAACGATCAACTTCACTATTTTTTCCATTTATGTGTTTCTACTTTCTTGTTCCTTCTGTACAATCAAATTTAAGGCAATAGCATGAGCAATAGCCGATTGAAGGCTCAAAGTTTCTAAGAAAAATGAAAAAAAAAAACTTAACCACATGCTATCACTTGAAAGTTGAAATGAAGTACCATTTGAACGGCATATCAAGTAGCCAATGAACTGAACTATGTAGTAAGCAAGGGGATCTTCGGGGAGGGTCGGCTGAGTACTGGTGTACACAGGAGAAGGTCTACAGAGGAACAGATCATCAAAGTGACAGTCACAGTACAGAGGGAGGGGACCGACAGAGTAAAGGAGAAGAGGGGCATATGGTGCCACGAGGGAGACGGGCGAGAGACGAGACCAAACTGTTTAGTCAGAGCACACACAAGACACAACGGCTTTATTAGCCGCAAAATTCAACAACGATCTGATTTCCATGCCGCACGTATCTGCGCCGCCGCTCACAGCGTCAAAACGGCTCCAAGCCGGGTATAGAGGGATTGCCAATAGACTATCAGGCCGGAAGGTTTTGGGCTGGAATGGGTGATGGATGTGTTAGCCCGCAAGGCCTCGATATGTTGCCGTATTGGACTATTGGTAGCCACCAGCCCACCGCTTTCCAAGCATAGTAGTGGCATCCGCGGTCACGGCCGTCCCACGGCGAGGCTTCGGCCCAGAAGATTCCAAGTTTTGGGCTGTACAAGTCCGCATGTATGACGATGGAAGATTCCAAGTTTTGGGTAGAGGTAAGTCAGGTCCTGCTGCTTCTCACGGTGCAAATAAGTTCATCTGTTGTCCCTTAACTTGTCAACGAATCTGATTTTCGTCCTTCAACCGGAAAACCAGATATAACGGGTCCCTCAACTATTAAAACCGGTGCAAAATGAGTCCCAAAGCAGTTTCGACGGCGGTTTCAACTGACGTGGCGACTACGTGGCTAATTTGACTCGGTCTTTATCTGACGTGACAAATGAATCAAAATTTAACAATTTAGAAATAAAAACAAATATGTGGACTCTCATGTCAGTCAAATAATAGAATTAAAAAAATACTGAGACCCACATGTCAGTGGGCCACGACGCCGTCCTTCCCCGTCGCCGCGGGCCACGACGCCGTCCTCCTTTGCCATCGTGGGCCATGACGCCGTCCTCCCCGTCGCCGCGGCAGGCCGCGGACCACAGCGCCGTCCATCTCCGCCGTCGTCCCTGTTAATGACCAAATTTGGTAAGGTATGAACCAAGTTCGACATTGGAATCGAAGCGGATTCAGCAAGGAGATAGGTTCGAAGAACAGAGTATGCATCGGCTGCAGAGGCATCGGCTGGATTGAATCGGTCAAAGGATGGATGATACAGCCGATTTTGATGAAGATGGCTTCGAGATTGTTTCTAGAATCGATCGACGTGCTTCACAAGGATTGCCACGATAGGGATAAAGCTCTCAGATAGGCAATTGTATCTATTAATTAGGATATTTTATGTAATTTCCTTAAAGATATGTTTGGACAAAAGTCTGCCGCAAAGACTTATGGTATCTTAGAGTTTGTTAGAGATAAGAGTCGTGTCCGGCAAGGACATATTTTGTATCTCGGGTATAAATATGACCTGAACCCATGTAATTAATTAACACATGTTCAATAACACTTTCAGCGCATCGCCACCTTTTTACTTTCGTTCTATTTCGACGAGTTCTTGCTTTCGGGTTGAGCTGCATCGATTCGATCTTCAACTAGAGGTAAACTTGTCATGGCGGTTTGCGTTTTCGGGATTAGTGCTTCCATCTTTATGACACTCTAATCTTGTTAATGTAATTCATCGAGTTATCATATATACTTTATAATCTTTGTTAGTTTCGCTATATAACTTGCCATCGACTAGTTTTTACTGTTAGAAAGTAGCCGATAGAGTTAAATCTCTCGTTATTGATCTAGATTATATCGTATATCTACCATCTTTCAGAGGGTTTCATCATCTTGTTTAGATCTTATAGTTATCTTCATGCTTAATGCTGCATCGGTTGAGTTCGATCTATTAAGTTTTATATATAATTGTGATATCTAGCTTGTGTTATGATTATCAATAGAGATAGTATCGGAGTTTCAGCCGATCTTACCTGATTTAGCTATTCTAACATCATATGCTTAATTGAATCTGCCATTTATATTAAGATCTTGTTGCTTTAAAGTTATATTAGGTTTCTTATTTGATATATCTTGCTTGTTTCGATATCTTGATATAAAGTGGTATCGGAGTATTAGCCGATACATGCTAGATCTATCTGATCGGCTATGCTATAAACATCTATATAATCTTTGCTTTAATATATATTTCGACTTAAGTGATTTATACTGTCTCGGCATGGCGACCGATATATCCCAATCACTTAGTTTAAGTATACATTAAAGTAAAGATTGTATGTTGTTAATATCTACAGCCGCTCGAGTATATTTAGTTTTATTTTATTTATTAATCATTGCCGATCGATTCTGACGTGACATCGGCATCAAAGATAAATGATATGGTCATTGACAATTAGCCGATCGGCTATCGTTTATGGATTTAACCGCGCTTTTTCTTGTCTTTATTCTTGTTGATTGCAGGATCAAATCAACTGGCATGCTTACGAACCTAAAGGCGAGATTTTGGACCTGCGCAGGAGTTAAGCAGATCTCCCATGCCAGTGTGTGTTTTTTGCATCCACAGTCCCCCACCGCCGCGGGAGTCTGAGGGCCACGGCATAGTCCCCCTCCGCTGTCGCGGGGCAGGGTGTTGTCCTCCTCCGCCGCCGTCCTCCCCCGCCGCCGCAGGAGGCCGTGGACCACGACGCCGTCCTCCTCCCTCCTCCGTCGCCGCGAGCCATGGTGCCGTCCTCCTCCGCTACCGGCGGCCACGGCGCCGTCCTTCTCCACCGTCCTCCTCCACCACCGGCCACGCTGCCATCCTCTTCCGCTGCCAACCTCGTCGATTTCTCCCTCGGCACCGACACCAGCGGCAAAGCCCCGGGATGGTGGTCGTGTCAGCTCGTGTACTCCACGATAGGAGGAGGGGAGAAAAGGGAGAGGAGATAGAGAACTGAGGGGATGAGGTGGGGCCTACTATTTTTTAATATTATTATTTAACTGACATGTGGGCCCACATATTTTGTTTTATTTTTTAAATTGTTAAGTTTTGCTTCATGTGTCACGTCAATGCCACGTCAGATGAAAATCGAGTCAAATTAGCCACGTAAGTGTCACGTCAACTGAAATCGCCATCCAAACCGCCTTAGGACTTGTTTGCACCGGTTTTAACAGTTGAGGGACCCATTGTATTTTGTTTTTCGGTTGAAGAATA